CTGTGTTGAGGAACTGGGCACAAGAGGGCATACAACTCAGGAGATTGAAGCAGGAGGATTATAAACTTGAGGCCAGCCACAGCAACTTAGCATGACCCTCAGCAACTTAGACCCCATCTCAAAGTAAAAATTAAAAAATGGGATGTAGCTGGGAACAACGGCATGTCTATAATCCCAGCACTTCAGGAGGTTGAGACAGTAGGAACGCGAGTTCAAAGCCAGCCTCGGCAACAGCAAGAGGCTAAGCAACTCAGTGAGACCCTGTCTCTAAATAAAATACAAAATAGGGCTGGGGATGTGGCTCAGTGGTCGAGGGCCCCTGAGTTCAATCCCTGGTACTAAAATAAAAGAGTAGGATGTAGCTCAGTGGTAAAGTGTCTCTGGGTTCAATCTCTAGTACCACACAAAAGAAAGAAAGAAAAGAACTTGTACTGAGGGTTTCATAAGCTAGTGGAACAGATGACTACAAAAATAGGAAATTATAATAATAATTATAATAATAATCCATGTGCTGACATGGATTCTTCCATCCGAATTCAGGGAAAGAGGACTCCAATTAGGGAAGAGCTCTTCTCCTGCCTAGAACAGGGGTAAGGAAGGTTTCTCAGAAGAGAAGGCTGTTCCAAGCAGAGATATATGAAGACTCAAAATGAACAGTTGTCAACACTAGTAAAGCCAACCTGTTTTCTTTCTGCAATGCTGTCAGTTCAGGATAAGCCAAAGCTCAGAAAATAGAGACAGGCTCCAAGACCTGAAGCCCCAGGCTTAATGCACTGTGACTTATGTATGTCACAACTAAAAATCTAAAAGAAGGTGACCATTCTGAGATCGCCCACCCTCCAATTCTCAAATGTGTTCTCCTTGCCCTTTATAACAAAATCTCTTGTCCTTCTACTCAAAAAACAAAAACTAAAAACTAAATGCAAGCATGTGACTCTAGAATGGGTACTAGACCTAACAAAAATATATGTAGAGCTAGGCCCAGTGATAAATGCCAGCAATTCAGCAAGCTAAAGCAGGAGGATCATGTGTTCGAGGCCAGTCTTGGCAATTTACTGAGGCCCTAAGCATATAGTGAGGCCTTGTCTCAAAGTCTCAAAATTAAAAATAAAAAGGGCCAGGAGGTGGCTCAGTGGTAAAGCACTCCTGGGTTCAATCCCCAGTATAAAAAAGAATGTATGTTTTTCTTTCTCTATGAAGATATTTTTGGAAAAAAAAAAATAACAAAAGGTATAATTGGAACCATTGGCAAAACCTACATAAAGCTTGTAATCTATATAAATAAATGGATGATTGTTCATTCCCCCACCCACCCCGCTGCAGTGCTGGATATTGAACTCAGATATGCTCTCTGGTGGAGCTACACCCCCCAACCCTTTTTCATTTAAGACAAGGGCTCACTGAGTTTCCCAGACTGGCCTTGAACTTGGGATCCTCCTGCCTTGGTCCCACCACACCCCGCTGAATGTTCATTTTCCGTTTGTGATAAATGTACTATAGTTACATAAGAGAATGTTCTAGTTTTAGAAGATACACACTAACAGATTTAAAGGGACAGAGAGACCATGTCTGCTTCTTTCACTTTGGCTCAGGAAAAAAAAAATTAATATAAAGGATGACAAAGAAAATGGGGCCAAATGTTCATATCTGAATGGCTGTCACGGAATTCTTTGTACTAGTTCTGCACCTTTTCTCTAAGTCTAGTCTAAAATTATTTTATAAGTTTTTAAAAACCAATAACTTTTAATCAGGAAGAAGGAAGGAAAGGTAAGAAAGAAGCTAAGGAGCAAGAAAGAAGGAAAGGAAGCAGGGAAGACAGCAGCTTCTCCCCCAGGCTGGAAAACAAACGCAAATGAGGTGAGATCCGCAAAGTAGGCTTTACCTGCGTGGAGGTGCACACCTGTAATCCCATTGGCTCAGGAGGCTGAGGAAGATTCAAAGCCAGCCTCAGCAGTTTAGCTAAAATTATTCAATGAGACCCTATCTGTAAATAAAATGTTTTTAAAAGGGCTGGGGATGTGGCTCCTATAATCATGGTAATCAGGCCTCACCTCAGGCTGCTAGAATTCCCTAATAATAAAAAGCAGTTCTCATTTGTGCTTCCCAAACGTTGAATTACTAGATTCCACGTATCAGCCCTGGGAAGGGCTGCTTTACAGCTGGGTAAAACAGGGCACAGAGGAGTACAGCCCAGGTCTCCAGCCAGTTGCTGGGTGAAGGCAGAACAGGAACTCTGTCTGGCTCCATGGAGGAAAACAAGGACCAAGTACAGCCCTGGAGCAGAGACTTGTCTATCCAGTACTGAACCCCAACACCACCATCATGAGATGGCAATGTCACAGACCCTGGACACAAACCCACAAAACTGCTTCAAAAATTTCCTACATGGGATGCAAACTGAGCTCTTTACATTATGTTCTCCCATTGCCACAGGCCAGAATCACTGGGATCCAACCATGGACCCATCTTGAGGAAACACAGGACAGTTTCTGATGCCTCCCCCAGCCTGCTGCACAAACAGATCAACATACCCCAGGACCCCTCACCTGGAGGGCTAGTCCACCTCTTCTCTTGGGATTCCAAGGCCGGGGCTGTTTGTTTTGCTTCATCCTGTCCTGGCATTTAGAGCAGCACTGTACACAAGATGACTTAATTGGGCAGGCAGGGCCCCTGGGGTCTCTTACACCTCACGGGGAGGAGGCCAGGCCCAGCCGCTTGCTAATTACCAGTTGTCTCACCATGGCAACTCACACCTGGGCTGTTGTAGCCAGTGGCAACTTTCTAATAACACATTTGGTTCCCCATCATTCCACTCCCCAAGCTTAGTCACTTAACCAACTGTGGGCAAGACCCTTTGGAAGCATGGTGGACCAAGGCGTGTAACCATAGAGAAGGGCATGATTGTAACCCAGGTAGAAAAAGTATCAGAGTCTGTTTGGTGCACAACAGATTAACTGGTGGCCAAGAGGGTCCCATTCACATCTCACTCCTTCCCTTTCTGCATTCACTTGTTGACAAGGAGACGTTTAACCTCAGAGATGTTTGTCTGGGGTCCATGATGGGCTCTGGCTTAATGGCAGACACACATACAATAAATCCTCAAGGAATAGTCTGGGATGTCAGTTCACAGAGAACCAACCACACTCTATCCCAACCAGGACGGGTGGAGAAGGACAACTTGGCAAGTTTGGAAGAAGTGCCAAGGAAACCACAAGGAGAATCAACCCTGGGGTTTCTTGGTGGATATCAGATTCCCAGATGTCTCAGCTTTCTTTAAATGAAATAACCATGTTTGGGTACCAAGGTTCAGACTAGCTCAGTGTGGTCAAGGAAGAGCACCTTCAAAGTCCTAGAGCATACATTATAAACTGAAGGGGGGGACCAGCAATCAATTGTCACAGTCCTCCAGGGGATGCAGAGTTCTCAGGACACTGCGCTAGACACCAAGGGCCCATGTCTTCCTGGGCTACTGTCCTATTCCACACTGTTGAATGAATGAAATGACCTATTTCCAACACCAACCCTTCCACTTTGGCCAGGCCCTCCCATAGCCCACCCCCAACCACCCGACCTGCAGAAGAACAAAAGGAAGAACAAAACGCCAGCCTGTTATAGAGAAATACTGATTTTAATTAAACAGAATAAGGTAAATTCTAGGCATCCGTGTCATCTTTCAGCCTAAAAATTAGCAAAAACAGTTGAAAACAAGGCACGGTTTTTCCCCATACTTGTGTTATGTGGCTCCAGTTACAAAAAAAAAAATTTTTAATGCAAATGTTAAACATAAAAATAGAAGTCTTGAGAGTATTTTTAAAAAGTGTATAAAAAGCCAAGGTTGTCAAGGTTGTTCCTGATTCTAAAAATAGCACCAGATAAGAGGAGTAAAAGGTGTTAAAAACCACTACAACAGCATTTCTGAAATGCAGCTTGTCTGACCTCCCTTTCCCCTTAAAAATGACGTTATCATGGAATAAAAAAGGATTTTAAAATCTCTGGAGGAACGATGCAGCTTTTATTGCAGCTTTCCCCTGCCATCTCTTAGATGAGGGGCAAGTGTGAGGAATGAGCTTCTGTCCCTGAATGTCCAGAAAGGATGAGGAATGTGAGCATCCAGGTTCTCATCTGGGGACCTGTGCCTGTCGGTGCACGGATGGGGGGGGGTCTTACCTAGCTCAGCCCCCTCCTTCATGCCCCTCATACAGGAAAGAGGAAGATGACTGAGAAGCTAAGTTCTCCTACATAATATATGGCAGCTTATATAATTCCGGCCCACCCCTTCCTGAGTGCCCCAGAGACTTCTATTGCAGATTCCAGGAGGGATTTAGCTAAGGGGGGCTCCTGCCCTTGGGTTTATGGGGAGGGAAATCGCCCTGAATGAGATGATGATGATGATGTCATCCCTGCTGAATCACCATCATGGTGAGAAATACTCTAATGGCTAATGGCCTTGGACTGAGACAAAGGGAATGTGGTATCATATCACAAATAGGTATCACTTCCTCTTCTGGTAGCCCTAGGGAAAAAACATTCATGCTGGACCTTTAAAATGTCCCTCACCATCTACAACTGCACACAGAGCTGTAGACACTTTAAAAAGTCTTGCAATCAGTCTTGTGTGATTTGGCATTCTAACCTGAGTATATGAGGGCTGTGGGTCTGTGGTTTTGGTATCTTAGCCATTGTTTCTCTGAGTGGTAAACCCAAGAGGGAGGAAAAAAGCCATTTTACTATCTACTTCAAGTTTTAGAAGAAAAAAATGAGCACCGTGTTTGGCTGCTCAGAGCAGCCAGGTCGGAATTGTGCACAAGGGGGTGGCACCTTGGCCACCCCTGCAAGAGAGGATCAGGAGGCTCTGCTCCCAGTGAGCAGGAGGACTAAGGGGAGACCCAACACAGCTCAGCTGAGGGCAGAGGGTGCCTTTAGGGATCAGGGTGCCTTCTGGGTCCTGGCTCTGTCCCAGGAACCCTGGTGCCCCAGCAGGCCTGGGTAGAACTATTCACATGCAAAGTAGTCCTTCAGGGGGGCGAAGAGGTGTCGGATGACGGGCACACTCCAGGACCGACCAAGCAGCTTCTGGCGGGCACCACGGCCCATGTTGGACACATCCGTGTAGTGCACAGGAAAACCGAAGATCCTGGGAGGGCGCCAGGGGGAAAAGACAAGGAGTGAGAAGGGCCCATCCCTCTAGCATGCCCACAGCCTCTGGGGAGGAAATCCTCCCTTCCCTTAACTCAAGCCCCCTGGGCCCACAAATAACCCTTTGTTGAACACCAGGAGGTCCAGATGGGCTGGTTCCTCAGAGCCCTTGCTCATGAGATGGACGCAGTGGCACATGCCTATAATCCCAGCAACCTGGGAGGCTGAGGCAGGAGGGTCATGAGTCCAGCCTCAGCAACTTAGTGAGGCCCTATCTCAAAATAAAAATAATGGCGGAAAATGTGTTTCAGTGGTTAAGCATCCCTGGGTTCAATCCCAGTACGTGTACACACACACACACACACACACACACAGGGGGGAGGTCAGGAAAACTTGATCAAATGATCGTCATGAGGCATGGCTCCTCCAAAATCATGAGTTCAAGCCCAGCCTCAGCAACTTAGCAAGACCCTGTCTCAAAAAAATAAAAAAGGATTAGGATGTGACTCAGTGGTGAAGCACCCTTCGGATCAATTCCAGACACAAAAAAAATTTTAAAAATTAAAAATTAAAAAAAAAAACAAAACCCACAATGATTTTCCATCAGACTTGGGTACGTTACAGTGAATATATCTAAGCATTCCAGTTTTGTCCATAGGGATTTACCTGGCCTCTTAAAAAGCTACAGATGTGCTGAATTGTCCAGGTTTAGAACCAGTACTAAAAATAAAAATCAATGGACCAATAACCGAAAGTGTGCAACACCCCAGGCCTGTGTCTTGCTTTGCCATAGCATGTACCCTGGGACAAATATCTATAGCAACCCTTCCATCATATCTTCACCCCGATGTGGATACATTCATGAGTAACATTGTTATCAGTTTTCTCTCTCTGCCAGTCAGAAGTTACTTCAATACCAAGATATAGTGAAAATTAAAAAAAAAAAAAAAAAAAAAAATCAAACCAGAGTTAAAATATCTAGAATGAAAATATTGTTATGAAAGTCTTCTGAATATAACCAAAATGTAAGGAGGAAAATTCATAGCCTTTAACATGACTTGCAAATAATAATTTTGAAAAAGACAAGTTAGACCAAAATGGTAAAAACAAAAAAAATTTACATCCAAGCTGGTTCTTGGTATCAAATTAGAAGAAGGTAGAGACAGACTGTGGCTGAGGAGGAATCAGCTAGAGAATGAGCAACTTTGCACAAGAAAGAGCAGGTCTTTAGCTGGTCCCTCACACACCCTAGGCCCCGGGACAAGGAGCTCTCAGGGCAGCACAGGCGGTGCCCGGTGATGCCCAGTCTGCTAATCTCAGGTTCCTCACCACCGCCCACCACTTCTGCCCAGAAATAAGGGCTGGCTCTATAAGGGCATTTCCACCAAACCCACACACAAGGCTGGGAAACTGTGGAGATGTGGCAAGCACCTGCCCCTTGGTGCGGCTGGCCTGGACGGCTCGTTCCTCCCCTTTCTGCCGCTGTGCAGCCTTGCTCACCTTTCGAGCTCAGTGCACCACAAAACATCTTCTTTGCCATTCATGACAACAGGGAAAAGTTGGTTTTTCCCCTGTTTGATGGAGTTGGACTTGGTGGTTATTGTCTGCACTTTCTTTAACTGGAGAACAAAACGATATATCACGGAGTAAGCACAGCAGGAAAGGTTCCAGGTGGGATTCAAGGCTCAAAAGCCCTGAGAAAAGATGGATGGAGCACAGAGGGCAGGTGTGTGGGAGACGGGGCAGGGTAGAGCTGGCAGCCAGAGTGAGAAAAGGAGCTCACGAAGGACAAGAACATTGTGTGCTTCCCACAAATGCCAAGAAGGTAAGGCGCAGCAAAGACCAGCCTTGAGAGAATGAAATGAGCACCAGGTACCTATGCATGAGATCACCGGGAGGGGGGGCCAGGGCCAAGAAGACAGAGTTATTATAAATAAAAGGCAGCCAGAGTTTGGAGAAATGGTTCTTCGCTTGATGCAGACATGGAGAATTAGGTTCACAGACGTCTTAATGTATTTATCTGTGATGTGACAGTAAATAATTTTTTTGCAAGAGCATCATTTACGTTTATTACTGGAAGGGCCAGCTGAAATTGCCTCTTATGTATCCAGCATTAACAATTGGAGGCAAGTTGTCTGTTTCCCACAGTGATTACTTGTTTATCAAGAATGTCTCCTACACTTAAGAACAGAACAGTTGTGTGGGAGAAAGAGGCCCAGTACCACAGTCACATGGAGAGAGGGGAGTAGACACCAATAGGACACACCACCAAGGTCACTTTCTAAGTACCCGCCTTGGGGTCACCCAGTGCGCATTCAGGAGGGTGGTGGGGCGGCCATCTGGGAGCACACCTTACCTTTGCAGTCCTACTGAATTCCAAGCAGTCCTGCAGCTCGAGCTTATCATTCTTTGATGCTATCACAGGCCTGGGGACAGCCAAAACCCATTACTTTCTACCCTCTGCAAAGGCCTTGCTCAGGCCCCTCCCAGGGTGGGAGGAGGGAGGGTCTTTGCTGCAAAAATGGGTCCAAGCAGTGAACATGCTCCTGTCATGTGATGGGCAACACACTAGGCCTAAGGACTAGTCTGGGTGCCAAGGATGGACCTGCCGCTGGAGGGGACGGTCCAATATCTGCAGCTACTGCCTCACCTCCTGAGTTTTGGCATCGGTCAAAGCCATGCTACCTCTGAGGAAAGGAGGGAACAGTGGACAGGGAGACAGAGATTCCCTCGGTTTGCTCATTGATCAAGTCAAGCCAGCTCCATGGAAGGAAGTGCTGGCGGGGAAACCAGGGACTCGTGCATGCTAGGTGCTCCAGAACTGAGCTTCGGTTTTATAGGAAGAGCTGGGGCTGGATTTTGGTGGGACTACTTGATACACCAGGACAGCAAACAGAATTGATGGCTCATTACTGGGGATGCAGGCTGAGGACGCTGGAAGGTGGGGTGAGCCCCACGGGAAAGTGATGGGGAGGTGTCACATAAGGATCAATTGGGCTCTTAACAGTTAACTCTGGAAACCTATTTTGCAAATAAAGCAAAGCAAACAGGCCCAAGAAGGGCAAGGGACAGACGCAAAGCATTTGAGCAGTTCCAGGGCGGAAAGGCACAAGACATCTGCAAGCAGAGTGGCTGAACACAGGGCAGTCCCCGGTTATTAAGGCCAGAAGGAACTCGTACATGAAGGTGGAAACTGTCCACTGAGGCCGAGGAACCACACAAAACCTCTCGCTAGACTGCAGACCTCCTCCTCCTCACTTTCTAGGTTTCCAAAGTCACCCTATTCCTGTCCCTCTATTGCAACAGGGCAGGGCAAAACCACAGACTAGTAAAGACTAGCCTGGTGTGACTTACACAAACTAGATGATTTCAGGTCTCAGCCCCTGGTCTCTGCTCGACACGCACCCATAACCCCAGAGAGCTCGGTGGCAGCACCCATCGACTCACCCACACTCCACCAAGAAACGGGATACCTATGAACCTTCCCAAAGCCCACCCCCAACGTGAACCTGTGATCATCCTTTAGCATATCAATGTGTCCAATCCTAGATTGGCAGCAGCACAATGGTGTCTGGGTCTAAACGTGAACATGATACCATTTGATTGGCTGACGAACCAATTAAAAAGATATGATATCCAACAGAAATTCTCAGAACCACTCTAAAACCCCCTCACCTCTACTCACATTTTGGTAAATGCCAGAAAATTATCATGCTTCCAACATTCCCTAGTAAAAGAAGGTGTTTCAAGCTAACATTTTCCCAGAACTGGGATGTCAGTTGCCACATTTTGCATCTTAATTAACGAGTTGTTCTTAAACCATGAATAGACACAATATTCAATCCTTGGCAAAACCCCTTGTTGTGGGTCTATCTAAAGAGATCTGAGCTAGCTCTGGTAAAAAAAATGCAAAGGTGGAAATGTTAGGAAACCTCAGGGAGATGTTTGGGGCCTACCATTTATCATCTCAACTCTGTCACACACCTGGTCCAGATCCTTTATTTCAAGGGGAATGGGAATCATAACAATTTCCATGTCCTGACGGGTACTGTTATGGCAGCTGGGAGGAAAGGCAGAGCCCAGAAGGAACAACAAGAGGCATCCCTGGCATCAACATGGCTCCAGCACCTGGCACTCTTAAGAACCAGGCCTGTCTGCTCACCATCAGGAACAAATAAGTAGGCCTCAAGTCCTGGCCCAAGATTCCTTGAAATACCAAACAGGAATCAGCCCTGAGATACTGCAGATTGTTCTGAAGCCCAGACTGGGGTTGTTTCTCAGTACAGACAGCACTTTCTAGAAGACTGGAATGTGAAAGCTAACATCTGAATTTCTCTTGGCTGTTACCTGGGGTCCCACTAAGAGTCCCCTGTTACCTGTTCATCCCAGGTAGGTTTCCCCAGAAGTATCTAGCCCTGTGAGCAGCAGAAACTTTGATGGCATCAATCATCACTGGGTTACACTGCAGAGACAGAGAGAAGGGGAGCTGCTTGGAGACCACATCAGATGCCAGTGGTCACTCAGAGCAGGGCGTGAGGGATGGATGCAGGTGACTGAACTGCTTCTGGCTATGGAAGAAGGATGGATCTTCCAACCAGGATATAGGCCAAGATCCACCTGGTGGATAAGGCCATGGTCAACCTATTCCCGATGGACAAAGGGAACAGATCAGACCTTCAGATTCTGAGAAAAGGTACCCCCAAACAGCAACTCATATTACAGATCTGGCAAGTAGAGATCCGGGGTTAAAGAGGGCATCTGGGCCATATACAGCTCTGTACCTCTAGCTGCCAAGTTCAAAGAGCATCAGGGACATAGGTACCTCCCTGAGGCTCAAGCTATTAACATTTTGGCAAACACAAAAAAGTATTTAACAGGACTTGTTGTCTATTAAACAGAACATAATTTAATTTCCCGGAATCCTCAAAGCATCCATTTTCACAACAAGAACATTGAGTCAAATTTCATAGCAAAAGCAGAAGGTGGCTGCATTGTCGCTGATTTCTGTGGGTTATGGGATCTGGTCACAGCCCAGCCAAGACCCTGGGAAACACCAGCAGTTTATACTGCCAGCAGGGCCTTCCCTGCCCAGGTTGCCTTTGACCACCAGAGCCCTCTGGGCATCCTTACCTCCAGGAACCGTGAGATGTCCCTTTTGTCGCCAACCTTCATGGCTACAACATTCTCAAACATCCAGAAGAATGGCCGGTCATCCCCTTCTTTGGGGCGTGAGTAATTGAGCAGGTGGTAGAATTCGAAGAAGAGTCGGCCAGTGCCCTCTATGCCCAGACAGGAGAGAAGGGGACCAATCAAAGCCTTCAGCAAAATCCCCAGAGTTCTTTAAAACCACAGTAAGGACAGCACCATGGGTTCATCTCCCTAAGGTCTTGTGGAATGACTGACTAATAGCTCAGGGTGGAAAATCTGCTTTCATAAAAATGTAAGGAAGATCAATGGAGAAAAAGAACAAGAGAAGGGAGGGAGGGAGAGGGGGAAAGAGGAGGAAATATGGAATGAATTTAACAAAATCAAGTTATAAGTATATATAAAGATACCAAAGGGAACAATCAGAAATAAACAAGGGAAAGAAAAATCAATAGAAAAGAGGACGATGTGGGAGGAAGACAGAGAAATGGATATTGAAATCAAATTCCTTGTAGGCATGATTTTGTCAAAATGTACCCAACTGCTGCTTCTAACCATAAAAACAGGCAGGACAGTATCCTTTCTTTGTGGGTCAAGGATGTACAATGGGGTTTGGACAGGGCCTGAGGCACCTAAAACAAAGGTTCCTTCTCAGGAGGTTCCACTGGACCAGACTCAGGTGTTGCCTGTGGGAGACAAAGTTGTTATGGGACAAAGAAGAGCTGCTCACCATACAGGCCTTTCCGGGCAGGATTCACATTTGATAGGTCATTGCATGGGCTTCCACCGATCACCAAATCAAATGGACCCCACTCTTCAATCTGAGGGACCAAAAGAGACAGGCTCAGGGCAAGAGTATTTCCCAGGGAACTACCAAGAAAACCTCCTTCTAGAATCTTCCCTGGTCAGCAACTCCAAGGAAATGCACTCCTCACTACTGCCCAAGATGGAAACCAGTCTGTGGTTCGCTTTTGTAGTAAGTAAAAGACACAGGCTCTCTTCTACTAGAAACCCCGAGGCTCACATGGGAGTAGGGGACTTCAGGGTATAGGGGGCAAACAAGAGGAGAGACAAGCCCACCCGGGGAGAGGTGACCCTCACATTTTTCTTTGTGATGTTCCTGACGTCATTCACATATTTGATGTTTCCCTCGTGCTTCACGGTTCCAACGGCGATGGATTCTTCACACACTTCTGAGGCGACATACTTTTCCACTTTAATGCCCAAGTCTTTGAGGACCAAGTAACCTGCACGGGGAGAGGCGGGCACTTGAACACAATGAGAGCAAGGGCAGAACAGCTGGCTGGCCACGGCTTCCTGCCCTGGCAGAACAAGGACACTCCTCGCTACAGTGTAAGAGTCAGCGCACGCGAAGGCCACGGGGCACCAGGCAGAGGCTGTGTCTACTCCTCCTGTTGGAACTGAAAATTGGAAAGAGCCAAGACGGTGGTAACTGTCACCTGACTGATGGACAGTATATTTGTGCAGGTGGATTGAAAAATTAGATGCCTGCATAGAATTAAAAAACACTAAAACAGGACTCAGAATGAGGGAGAAGGTAGAATAGGAAGAGAAGCCACGGGCAGGGCCCCCGAGGACATCCGAGGCCTTGAGACTCCCTGGCTGCTCACCCTTGTGGAAGCAGAGCCTCCCTAGTGAACTTACCTGTGGCAATTCCATCGAATAGTGACAGGACTCTAATGGGCCGCCTTTTGGCTGCGGGAATCGCAGGGTACAACTTGGGGGCCTCCTGCCAGATAAGGAAGGAGGGTCACAGAGGTGAAGGAGCAGGGGGAAGACTCAACCTCTGAGGAAGGGAAGGGATGACTTTCAGAGGGGTCCAAAGCCGGCTGTGGCTGCCACAGAAGCTTTGATGAGAACTGGCAAGGGAAGACACCATGTGCCACCATGCCCGGGGCAGGGGTGGCCGCTCTATTCCCAGGTAGGAGGCCCGGCCAAGCACTAAAGGACAGACCCTCAACAGCAATTATCTAGGTGCTCTGGCTAAAAACAGCAAAAAACTATAAAGAAAAAAAAATTGAGATGTCCCAGGATTCCAGGTCCACACTGAGAAGCCAGGGACAAAGAGGCCTCCTTCAGAGCAGGCTGCCTGAGGCCCTGAGAGGCCACTTTTACATGATCTGATTCCCTTAACACCTGCATTCTTTTGAAGGCTATCTTCAGACCAGTGGCCCTGGGGCCTGTGGCTTACGTATTCAAGCCCCATGTCGCTGGTGAAGAAGGTCTGCAGGCGGACATTCCAGTCCTTCCGGCGCCGCAGGACTCCGTGGCAGCGCTGGGGGAGACACATGTAGCAGCTCCAGGGCTCCTGCAGCTTGGCGTCCTCCGCTGTGCCCTTGCCCACCAGCACCTCCAGACACTCCACACAGAAGCACCTGTACCCAGTGGCCAGGGAGAAGCTCTGTGACCAGGACGCCTTCCCTAGGTAGATGGCAACTCACTGCCTAACAACTTCAGCATGAACTGCAAGGTCCCGCATGATGTGTGCCCTTGATTCAAAAAAGGACGAGTATGCTCTGCACTTCTTATAATTCCTACCAATGGACAAAGCTCCAGAGAGGGAGTCTTCCCTGAAGCCCCCTGACCCACTCTTCCCCATGGGGCAGAGCACATCCCTGTTTATCCATTTCTAGTCCTAGGACAACTACAGTCAGCATGGCACACGATGGCTGTGCTCACGACTTCCACTTCACCTTAGCTCTCGGGGTGCAGGCCTGAGATTGCAAAAACAGGCAGCTGTCCCAAGACTGCAGGAACTGCCCCGGGGCCTGAGGATGTGCCCATAGGGCCCAGTGCTCACCGGCAACAGCTTGTGTTGCTGCAGAGAAGCAGCTCACGGCCCTCACAGCACACGGTGCAGTAGGACTGATAACCATCGTCGTCGTACATGTAGAACAACTCAAGGAAGCGATCCTGCAGTCATGGAGAAAAGTCCGTGAACAAGTCAGAGGTGGCCTGGTATCCTTTAGGGGACAAGGGCTCTGGTTTGCAAGCCATTATAGATGAAGCTCTCTACTGGGCCACCCTCCCCTCCAAAAGGAAGACTGCAGGGCGCTGGAGACCTGGGAGACTTTCACTAATGCCTGTGCAAGTACCATCTGCAGGGAAAGGACCTGGAAGATTCTGGAGACAGGAAGAGGCAAGTGCAGGGCAAGGGGAGGAGGACTTACCCGGCACGTCTGGCAAAGCCCCCCCTCAAAGAGCGGGTGGAAGGACACGGGGTTTTTTCTACCACAGGACAAACAGCTATCTGTAAGAAAGACAGGGCCACAGGTTATGGCAATTACAGCCGCAAGGCCAGTTTGAGCAATCACTGCAAACTTGCAGTGTGCCCATCCCACAGCCTGGGCACGCCAGGCTCACACACACAAAGGGCAGGCCAAACTGGATAACAATAGCAGCCCCTCCCACAAAGGAATATGTTTTGAGGACCTGGTGGGACAAGTTGGCCATGGTATGGCAGCAATTTGGGAGGCTGAGATAATCAAGGCCAGGCTAAAAATTACCCCTATACAAGGGCAGAAATTTGGTGCAATAGCACTCCTGGGTTAATCCCTTTTTCGGGGGGGGGGGGGGGGGTAATAACACTGAAGCATTTGTAGTGACTCCAAATAGCTTTTGATGGCTGAGGATAGGAATTGCCAGTGGCATTTCCTATACAACACAGAGCTGTAATCTCTGAGCCCAAGTCCCCACCAATATGCTATTTTTGTCCTGGTGTCCTATCAGTAGGTCTGAAGTGTTTCAGTGACTTCTTGCCACAAACCAATCCTTCTACAGTAAAAGGGTCTCAGGTTATATGGATAACTATAGGTTGAAGGTTCCAGAGTGTCCAGGGATGCTCCAAAACCAGGCTTTCCCTGGGCTAGGGACTACCTTTTTCCTACTCAACACACATCTGTGGACTAAAGGGCACCGGGCTGAGGAAGAAGGGGCTTGCAGGTACTTCCTCCCGTTCATTAGGTCTGTATCATTAGGTCTGTTCTGTGTCTGCTGAACAGAGTCACTAGAGAGTGACAATGACAGTGTGTGCCCACCATTCACCTAAAAGCTAGTTCCTGGAGGACCTTGGTTTCAGGCTGTCTTGGCTCAAGTGCCTGCAGTTGCATTCTCTCTTCATACCTCCCTGCTCGCTCAATTAAAAATATTTCTCAATTTAAAAATTTTTTTTAAATTATCCTACTCAGTCTATACAATGTTCCAACAGGGACACAAAGGAGGACAAGGAAGCCCTGATTTGAGCCCAGATCTGTGGGAGAACCCAGGCAGGCCTTGGGTAGTACCCAGAGGGGAGGTAGATGGGGGGGGTCGATGTTACCTTCCAGATTGTTCTTGTTGTTGGTAACATCAGAAACCATTTGTTCTGTTGAGGAGAGAGGGAGAACGTGTAAGGAGACAACAGGGTTGTGTTCTCATCTGCACCCTCCTTACAGGGTGGTCACCACCTCCCCTTCCCCAACAATCACCTCGGCTCTGATCTTCCTCTCCACGGTCCTTGCCATTGTTATAGCAGTTTGTCTTGAGGCGCTTGTTTGGGGGACAGTGGTCAGAGGCAGCTGAATCATCAGTGGTGCGTCTTCGACTCTTGTTCTCTGTGAAAGGCAAGCAAATAGCAGCCGTGGCTTGATTGGAGGAGGATACAGGATAGGTGGGCCCCCGGGCAGACCACACTGTGCTGAAAACCATCTACACCTAGGGCATCACAGGGGACTTAACACTGGATGGACATGTCCATGACAGGCCACCAGAAGAGGAGCCAATCTAAAACCCTATCCCAGGTTGCAGGATCTTTCCTATGTGGGGGGTGAAAGAGCATGTCCTCTTGGACTCGCAAGAGGAAGTATAAAATGCAATCCACAGCTAAACCCTGACACATCTACAAGTGCTGTCCAACACGCTGCCCAGCAGTCACATGTGGTAACCAAGCATTTGAAATGCAACCAAGTGACTGAAGAATTTCCTTTGTCTTTGAATATCAACTGAAAATCTGGTAACTCATTTTAAAAAAAGTTCATTTGATATTAATTTGACATCTAAATCTACATTGGAAATGATCTGGTTAAACTGCATTCAATTGACAATTGATATTTGTATTTAATTCATCTATACTGCATCAACATTTAGCATCAGAATGAAGATGATATATACTGTATGCATGCCTACAATCCCAGCTTCTCAGGAGGCTGAGGCAGATGATCGCAAATTCAATGTCAGGCTAGGCTACATAACCCTGACTCATAAATAAAAATATAAGGAGTTGGAGTTGTTGCAGCTCAGTAGTAGAGAACCCCTGGGTTCACTTCTCACCACCAAAAAAGAAAAAAAAAATCTTAGAATGTAGCTCAGTGGTAAACAACCTTTGGTTCAATCCCAGAATTAGGGTATATAGGAAAATCTATAAAAATACTTAATTTTTAAGAAAGTACTAAACAAAGGTAAAAAATCAATTTTTATATTACACTACCATTAATACTACAAACGTTATGTTAAAATGTACTAAATTTTACATGTCCCCTTTCAATGAAAACTACTAGAAAATAATATGGTGGCTCCTTTGTTTAAATCCCATTCAGTTTTCTATTGAAACATAAAACCCCATTAATTTAACCAGAGTTAACTTTGACACTGCCCTTGAGAAAGAAAATTATATAGCCATCAAAATCAAAAGTACTCTTTTAGTGACAAAAATCACAATTGATAAGTGCTTAGACAATGAAAATTGAGAAATAAAGGGAAGGCAGTAGGAATCCAAAAGGGTTCAGAAAAGGCTAAGGATGTGCAACCCAACAAGATAACCTGGGGGAGGGAGTGAAGGGGGAGTGAGGGGGTTCAGATTGAAATTTGATTCTTTTCCAGTGACCATTGCATATGCCAAGAAATTGAAAGAGCAAAGAAAATAGAATATAGATGGGAAGGGAATACCGTGTTTCCTTGATTCTAACTTCCTACTGCCTGCACGACGCACCTTCGATTTATTAACCACTTTGTAGGGGAAACAAAACAAAACAGAAAACATTAAATGTATGGATTGTTAAGACACATCCTGCATTTCAGGAAACCATGGGTATAATGGTGGAATATGGTTATTGGTCAAAATGTTTAGGGTGTCACATTTAAGGTTTTCTCCAATGACCAATTTAATAATTTTTTTTCCTTTAAAAAACGAAAGGATGCTTCCTGCTTATTCAACTTTTTATGAGATTCAATCTCGGTTTTATGTGTATGACATTAATTTAGCATGAAAGTGTCCGAGGAGGCCAAGAAAGCCTGGAATGGCCTTCATCTGCGCTAGATGTTTCTCACAGGCCTGGGTTCACAGGACACAGTTCACAGGCCACGGAGGTGGGCCTCTGAGGAGTCTGGCTGCAGATCAGCTGGGTGGGGCATGGGCAGGTGGGGTGGCACGGTCTCTCAAGGGCTTCTCCCACCAGCAGAGGCAGCTGGCAGTGGGCGCTGCCTCAGGGACTCATTCCCACCTGGTTGGTTGTTGTTGGGTTTGAGGCCCTCGATCCCAGTGGGCTTGAAGCCCCCGTGGGCCCACTCCAACATGGGCTTCAGCTGGTCCTCCAAAGAGTCTCCAGGGCTGCTGGGGAAGGTCTTGCCAGCTCGTACCCTGGCTTTCTGCCAAGATATAAAGGCAGAGTCTGTGGTGAATGGGGGCGGAGATACTGCTCACCAGGGCGCACCCAGGGACTCCCCCTGCCAAGGCCAACATTCCCCTTGACACTGGACCCCATTCATAGCAGGACAGCTGTCCTGGGCTGTACCACGTGACCTGGGAAGGAAGAATAGCCTGGGCAGGGAGACAGGCAAGAAATCATGGAACTCGGGGTGGGAGATGGTTAGTATTGTATCTTGCCCTATGGAAACCAAGTATGATCTCTTTCCTGTAGGGAATGAGCTTTCTTTTAACCAGAGGAATCAGAAAGGCTCTGCCACTTTGTGACAGTGGGAGTCTCTGTCAGCTCTACCTTAACACCTCTGTACCTCTTTCAAGATGGATAATGAAATGAAAATGAGAATGCAGTCAAGCATCCTTTATTACGTGGACCATTAGGCTTTGCAGGTGTTATTCAGAGAAACTAGCTGGCTCAGGAATGTCACATGAACCAAAACAATGTCAAGGCAAGGTAGATAGGAGAAGGGAGAGCACTTAACAGTTCACATGTGATACCATGGCCCACAGACAAGGTGGCCTGAGGTGCTCTCCAATCTTGGCCTTGAACCACTCCACAATCATGGAGCCAGGGGGAGCTTTGAGGTCTCTGGAGAAATATACTGACATGAATCAACCTCCCACATACACACCGTTCCTGATTCAGACACTAATAATGACAGGCAGCAGGTGGGAGACCTCCCAATCAGGACACCAACACTGGTGATGTTCACCTCCTCTCTGATGGCACTGTGCCCTCCAAGCCATACTTGGCCTCTCAGTGACCTGAGCTAGCTCTCAGTAGACCTCGTTTCCTCCAGGATGAGGACCTCACTCCCCACTCCCATGTTACCTCCAGGGCCTGGTACATGGCCTTCCTGTATGACACCAGTTTATTGAAGGTGGCCTGGTTAAAATGCTGACTGAACAGCCCCAAGGCCACCAGTTTGTCTGCAGAGACCTAGAAGAGAAAGACATCATCAACATCTACCTAACATCTGTAACTTCAGGAAGGAAGATTTTCACACACTTTATGTGATAGCCCATTCCTGGGGACAAAATTCACAGATGTCAATCCAGAAAGGAAAGAAAAAAATATATATATATAAGAGAAATGGTACACAGAGTCCTGATACAAATAGAGGCAGCAATGGCACATTCCCCTCCAGAGGTGGGGAACAAGATACTCAGAAGGACAAACTAGGTATATATGTTGAGGTGTGAGGGGCGAGATCATTTTCCCAGGAACAACCCTGAGGCTTGGGTCTGTAATTCACTGTGCATACATTTTGTGTGAGATGTTTTGCTTCCCTCATTCCTGAATAAGCCTGGTAGTTTTCTCTTCAGCTTTGGATTAAATAATTTCAGATATAATCAATTTGATCATTTAGTTATTTGATTTTAGGTATTGCAACTTGACATGCCAAGTCCCCAGGCCAAGTGGGAAATGAAAGTGTCCCAGGCAGCTGATCAGAGGTACAGGACGCATGTGCAGTGCCGTGGTCCTGAGAGTGCACTCCAAGGCTCTCCTCCGTTTTGTACACAGAGACTGATCTTCATGAAGAGGTGCGGCCACCATTCCTGTAGAAATGGCCAACTGCTACCAGCTGGAGCCACCCACAGGCATGCACTGTGCAGGATCTCATCCCACAATTCCAACAGTCCCATAATGACTCTTTTTGGCATCAGACCATATCATGAAAACCATTTTCAATGTCACTGGGTCAAGACAATTCTAAGGAAGTAACCCTCTCTGGACCACGGCACTGCACAGGTGTCTTGTACATGTACATACAATCAGGGGCTTCGTGGCTAAAATAAGCCCAGGACACTTGTCCTTCTGCTCCCTCTGCTGGTCAGAGAGGACATCTGCATGCAGTGTCACCAGGCAGTCACATGTCTGATCCGCCTTGGGGAATCTCAGTGTCTATGAGAAGTGGCAGGAAAGAGGCCAATTCATGGAAAAACTAGAAGCTAGAAACCAGGAACAAATTAGATGATAACTCATTCCCACATTTGCTTTCATCTCGCCCAGCTTGTTAAATAGGAACCTCATAAAACCTGCTGGGAATTAAAGGTTGGACTGACTTTTTGGTTGTTTTTGAAAGAATACTGAAGATTGAACCCAGGGCCACATTGTTGGCCTTTTTTTTTTTTTTTTTGGGTAACCCATCTCCCTTCTTATTGAAGAGAGGCATTTAACCACTAAACTACATCCCAGCCTTTTTTTTATTTTAACAAAGGTTTTGCTAAGTAAATGCTTACAGCATCACTAAATTGCTGAGGCTGGCTTTGAATTTGTAATCCTTCTGCCCCAGCCTCCTGGGCCACTGGGATTGCAGGCATGCGCCACCAAGACAAGACATTCCTAATTTGAGATACAGTCTCACTAAGTTGACCAGCCTGGCTTCATACTATAAAATTATAATTATTAGAAATATAGGCCCACCAACAGGTAAGCACACAGGTGTTGATTGACATTCCTAAGAGACCATGTCAGAAAAGGTCTTCTTCCTGCACTACTCAAACCAAAATTTTTTGCAGATCTCTTAACTGCACCGCAGGGCAGCGCGGGTGGGTATGGAGGATTGAAGTCGGGGGCACTTGACCACTGATCCACATCCCCAGCCCCATTTTGTACTTTATTTAGAGACAAGGTGTCTCACTGAGTTGCTTAGAACTTTGCTGTTGCTGAGGCTGGCTCTGAATTTGCTATCCTCCTACCTCAACCTCCCAATCTGCTGGAATTACAGGCGTGTGCCACGACTCCCGGGTTGCTCAGGCTTTCTACAGGAGATAAAAACGTAATATAGCCCCAGTTGATACAGCATAAATGAGGCCCTGGACCCAGCAGTATTAACTATTGAGGCCCAGCACATCAATAGTTAAAAATAAACAGAGAATTCCAGCAGAATTCATGGTCAAGGAAAAATTTTTTAAATGGTTCATATCAATCACCAAGAGGCTCTGAACTATAAATTTCTCCTAACTTGCCTCAAGGCAACCTAAACCCACCTATAGGGGCGAGGCAGGGGTGCCCACCACACCCCCATTGCAGGCCTATATGAACAGATGGTGACCATCCCTTCTGACCTTTCTAATGAGTACATTTGGGTGCCAACCCAGGAAGATACCCCCTAAAATCTCAGATAGGTATATGATCTGCCCCAGAGAAATAAATCCAATAAGTAAATATAGCCTGGTGAATCCAGGACTTTCCACCCCTCGCTTATCCCCTTTGAAAGTGCAATGAGCTCTCTTGCCATAAACTCAAGTATCTGCTTAGCAGGTGAATACAGGTAAGCAGGGAGTACAGGTAAGCAGGTGAATACAGGTAAGCAGGGGAGTACAGGTAAGCAGGTGAATACAGGTAAGCAGAGGAGTACAGGTAAGCAGGGGAGTACAGGTAAGCAGGGAGTACAGGTAAGCAGGTGAATACAGGTAAGCAGGAAATACAATAAGCAGGGAGTACAGGTAAGCATGGATTACAGGTAAGGAGGGAGTACAGGTAAGCAGAGAGTATAGGAAGATTCTGTCCTTACAGAAGACTGCTGCATCCTTCTGCAGAAAGATCGCAAATTAACTGCCTAAGGAAGGAACTAACACTTCAGATCTACACGACTTGAGATTATGCCTTGCGCTGGACTCACCTCAGAGAACTTGCCATCACCAAACCACTGGACCCATCGCATGCCGGACATGGCCTGGCGCTTGGAGGTAGCCTTCCAAGAAACCACCATGGCAGGCCACCAGGAGAAGCCCTTGATCTTGCCCCATACCAGGTCCCCTATTCCAAACTCCTTCCCATCCTGGAAGAGAAACCACATAGAATAAAAACATTTGTGAAGACATGTCAACCTGGCCAGCTCCTCCTGCCCCTCCACTGACCCCCTCAGCAAAACAAGCTTGGTGCACAGATGTGAGATGTCACTGGTGGGGAGCTCAGACGGCATGCCTAGCATGTGAGCAACCCCGGGCGCATACCCAGCCGCAAGGAAAGAAAGGAACTCATCAAGTGTATCCACAGTACAATGTCCTCTGACATAACGCACAGAGTACATCCTGTACCATAAGTACCTCCATGGGAAGGGAGGCTTCACTCAGCAACACTCAATTAAACCATCGTCCAGATCCCTGCATGCATTAAGAAGATGAAAGTAAGCAGTGCTGGCAATCTGGCATACAGCCAGATATAACTCTTGTGATTATAAACATATGTAGGGCATAACTAAAGCAATTATAGCCGGGCTACAATCAAATGCACAAACAGAAACCACATTATGTACTATGTGTTAAACACAGTACTTACATCTATGTACAAATAAGTGATGTTCAATTCACACAGTAACTCTGGTGCCTGACTTAAAATGTCTCGGGGGGAAATGGGAAGGACCATGTTGTATATAGAAAATTTAGAATTCAAAAATGGTAAAAATGACAAATTGTAGTACCACTGGGTAGTCTTTAAAATTTATCAACAATAGGTCAGGTGTGGTGATACACCTGTAAACCAGCAATTTAAGAGGTTGAAGCTGGAGGATAAAAGCCTAAACAACTTAGTGTCTCACAAAGGATTGGGGACTCAGCCCAGTGAGAAAGAACCCCACGTAACCCCCCCAAAAAAATTATCAACAGTACACAGGCGTGGTGGTGACACATGTCTATAATTCCAGTGATTTCGGAGGCTGAGGCAGGAGAATTACAAGTTCCAGGTGAGATTTAGCAGTTGCCCAAGACCTTGACTCAAAAATAAAAACTGGGAATGCCTGAGTGTCGTGTGACTGCCTGTAATCCAGGGGCTCAGTAGGCTGAGGCAGGAGGATCCCAAGTTCAAAGCCAGCCTCAGCCACTTAGCGAGACTGTCTCAAATAGAAAAAATAAAAATAAGAGCCTGTGGATCTAATCCCTGGTGCTAAAAAATTAAAAATGTTTAAAAATAAAACCACTGGGGATGAGCTGGGGATGGTGGTGCAAGCCTGTAACCCCAGCAACTCGGGAGGCTGAGGCAGAAGGATGGAAAATTGAAAGTCAGCCTCAGCAACTTAGCAAAGCACTTAGCAACTCAGTGAGACCCTGTCTCTAAATAAAATACAAAAAAAAGGACTGGGGATGTGGGACTCAGTGGTTAGTGCCCCTGGCTTCAATCCCAGGTACAAAAAAAACACTGGGGATGAATGTGGCTCAGCGGTAGCAAAGCCACCAGTGGCTGGCGCCTGTTCTTACATTCGGCATCCTGGGGCACCTGCAGGAGGAGTACCTGGTACTCAGTGTTGTCGGAGTCTCTCCCCTCTGCGTCCACCTGGGAGGTCTCCGAGTTCTCCTGCTGGCTCTCAGCTAGGCTGGCGCAGGGGGTACTGCTGCTCTGTGGTGTCACATCGTCCTCCGTGAGGTCGATGGTGAGGTAAGGAGTGGACGGGGATGGCCACGGCGTACCTGGCGAGGCTGTTGACCGCCGCCTTAGGGACTGTGGATGGAAGGACACAGTTTGCGTCACAGCAAAGCAAACCAGGTGATTGGAGACCAGTGATTCCCCCTGTGGCTTCCCAAGTAGCAGAAAGAGGGAAGAAAGAAATTGAGGAGGTTCAAAATCACCCAGGACAGTTTTCAAAGGAAGAAGTGTCATTTAAGTGGTGAAAGTCATCACGACCAGAGAAAGGACAATGTCGGGTAAGTGCCAAGAGGCTGCCAAGCCCCATCTGAGAAGGGGGATCCTGTAACCACCTATTGTGTCCCCACTGGAAAGAGCAGTGGAGTTTTCTGGAACAGAAGACACTGAGGCGACAGGACAGTTCTGGAAGTTCCACCCAAGAGCAGGCCAGGAGATAAGTCATTCAGCCCGAGGAGAAGCTTTCCAAAACCCAGGAGAGAAAAGGAAAATCAAGGTCCTGAAAAAGAGCCGTGAAGAGAGGACACGGGTCCTGCACCAGCCATGGGTTCTCCCCGGGAGCGGCTGGGCAGGGGCACCAACCCTGGTAGCCGGGAACTCCACGGGAGACTCGTCCACGTGACTGCGGCCCTGGCGGCCTCGGGTGGGATGTGGGAAGGACTTGTACCTCTCCCGACTGGAGGCACTGTTGTTGCTATTTCGGGTTCGGACCTGGAAGCAAGACAGGATAGGCACCAGGCCTTAGGTGACTGGAGGTATGGGGACTGGATGGCAAGTCATTCACTAGCTGGAACAGAGATTGCTACAACTATTTTGAATAGCTTGGTGTTTGTTAGAAAGCTAGACATGTGTGTACTTCGTGTGACCCAAGAGTGCATTTCCTAGTGCACACACCTCGGGGACACTTCCACAACACACACATCAGGAGAGAGGAAGAAAGCTCCTGGCAGCCTCGTTCCTAAAAGCCAAAAGCAGAAGCAATCCAGTGTTCATCAGGGGGCCGCACAACAACCGAGGACACCTAGTGGTTGGAAGGCAGTAAGGAAGTTGATGTGCTTTGCTAGTCACAGCACACAAACCTGGCCAGAGGAGACCAGCAAATGAGGATAAATGCACAATTACCAAAAACCACACTTTTTTCCCCCCAAAAGGAGCATAAAGCCAATTATTGTTTTTCTCAGGAAGGCCAAAGCTCTCATCCAGGAAGGAAAGGCCATTATACTACACTTTCTCAAAATGGTATGAGTTTGAGTGTTGCAGCCCAATTCCAATTCTATGTTTGGGGCTGGAGATGTGGCTCAAGCGGTAGCACGCTTGACTGGCATGCGTGCGGGTTCGATCCTCAGCACCACATACAAAAGATGTTGTGTCTGCCAAGAACTAAAGAAGAAATAAATATTAAAATCTCTCTCCCAATCTCTCTCTCTCTCTCTCTAAAAAAAAATTAAAAAAAAGACGATGTTTAATCCTGGAAAGTTACTGGAATCTTTGTGTGTCTAGAATGGGGATTATAGAGCTAGGGACATAGCTCAGTGGGTAGAGTGCTTGCCTCATATGCACAATCCCAGCACCACAAAAAAAATAAAACTGGGATAATTAGCCAAGCAGGCCTTTAATCTCTACAATGAAGTTAAAGGAGGCAGGAAGGCAGCCTCACAACTTAGGGAAACCCTGTCTCAAAATAAAAAGGGCTGGGAATGTAGCCCAGTGTTCCTGGGTTCAATCCCCCGTACCAAAAACAAAACTAAATTAAATACACATATTAAACTGGGAAAATGAGACTATAATCCATGTCTGGAAGTCAGTCAGTCAGTAAGTGTCTGCCTAGTCTCTAGGGGCTGGGGGATCATGAGTGCTAATTGACATCCCATCCTCAGACGTTAAATTCTGCGGTAGAGCCACAGCATCTATCTCCAGAAATGACAAGGGCCCCGGAAGTGACTTGACAGCTGAGCAAGCTGTCTACTCTGAAAATTCTATATCACCCTACCATTTTCAAGAGAGGGCCAAAAAAAAGATCTTGAAATCTGCCATAGAAAAGATACCGCACCTGAAATAAACCTCCAAACTATGATAATTCGTGAGTCTGGCTGTGATTTCCTGAATTTTCAATACATTTGTTCACCTGTCTTCCATGTCCCCCCAGGGGGATCGACCCATCCCTGGTGGGAATCCCTGGGCTCTGCACGTGGGACTTACTGCTGGGCTTGCAGAGCGGGTCCTGGTTTCCCGGAATAGTCTTGGCATCACAGGAGCCTCAGAGCTGTCCCCATCTTCTTCACCATCTGCTTCCCCTGTCAGATCCTTTTGAAGGAATAAGATCAATTTTTCAATGTTAAGTCACAGAGGCAAAGTAGCTAAAGACTGGATCCCCAGAAACCCTTCATAAAATTAAGCAAAGACACCAAGAAATATTGTCTAAAGGCTTTTGCATTAGTTCGCCACAGGATCACAGGAAAGATAAACCTCAGTGAATCATCAAGTCACAGGAATAAGATTTGATAAGGAAAATGAGTCCCAGAGGTCACCATGATGAGCAAGGGACACCAGGACAGTTTCCACCACTCGAAGCACATGGGGGAAAATGCACGGAAACTGCTCACTGGAGACACTTCTTGATATAATGACAAGAAGCAATGCCACCAACCCGGGATTGTGTCATGAAGACGCTAGTGCAGGCTCCAGCCGCACCCAACGTGCACAGAGCACAAAAATTGAAACCAAGAGTAGCCAGATGTGGCTAAAGCTTTCAAAAGTCTCATTTTTTGAAATGGAGCCCATTCCCCTTATTTTAGAATTGGAATAATGTTTACACACAGCACAACAGGGTTATAACAAGCCTCAAATAACACAGGCTTAGCTTAGACACAGGAAATCCTCAGATGGATTTCATTACTTTTACTGATAACTAACTGGATAACACAGTAGCATTCCTGAAGCTGTGATCCAGTCTGTTTTAACCCTCCATAGCCTTTGGACACCACCTGGATCCCTTATTTGGTGGACCACCACTAAAACACAACAGATGCCACAGAAAGATGTATGTGTGCTCACTGTCTGACTTCTGCTCATGACTGTCCCCAGGGCTTGCCATGGGCTGGGTTATAGCTCAGCAGTAGAGCGCTTGCCTCTCAGCACCACATAAAAATAAAGATATTGTGTCCATCTTTTACAAAAAAATCCTAAAAAGAGCAACCCAAGGGACAAAACTAAGACTAATTATAAAAGGACATAAATAAACAAACATGATGGAAAAAAATGATGTTGGTAAAACTGAAGAAGTAAAATCTTTAATATTACAGCAGTTCTAACAATTCTTTAAAATCTTGTAAAAAATTTTCTTGAGGCCAGATAACCTGATATCAAAACCACAGATGTGAAAACTCACATCTTCTATTCATTCTATTCATGAGTAAATGAATTTCAAAACAAAATCTGCCAGGCTCAGTGGGGCACGCCTGTAATTTCAGTGACTTAAGAAGGTGAGGCAGGAGGATGGAAAGTTTGAGGCCAGTCTTAGCAACTTAGGAAGGACCCCATCTCACTAAGGGCTGGGAATACAACTCACCCCAGGCTCAATCCCTAGTAACACAAACACACACGCAAAAGAATTATGAATTATGTCATAGCTGTCCAGGTTAAGAAATAATTTCATACACAGGAAGCATTCAGGAAAACAAAACTTCTCAATTTAGTTTGGGGAAAAAAAAAGATTAGCTTCACTTGTCAGTAGCAATTTGAGCCTCAGAGACCTACTAGATGGATAAAAATATTATAGCTAATGTCCTGGAAGGGGAACATGGGAAACTACCTGAGTGTAGCTGATTAGGCTGGAGACCTCCCTCTTGGACAGGCGGGAGCTGGATCTGCGGCCTAGGGAGCAGAGCAGAGTTTAGGAGCAGAGTTTCAGAGCAGGCCCCCGCCCGGAGCACAGCCTTGCTGATGGCTGTGGCTTGAGATCTTGCGGACCATGTTGCCTCGGGAATGAACTCTCAGGCCCTTGGTACTCTTGTCCCTACCATGGACTCATAAGCAACAAGGCACAGAAACAAAATCAGATCGAAAACAGTTCTGAGGGGAGCCATCTGAGTCTGTGACCAAGAACTGCATTTAAATGAGGAAGTCAGGTCCCTTGCTGGTAGGACACTAGCTTAGCATCCGCACCAGGCCCTGGGATCAGATTCCAGGCATCACTAAAATCCATCAATAAAGGCTGGGACAGGAGGATTGCCAATTCAAAGCCAGCCTCAGCAACGAGGAGGCACTAAGCAACTCAGTGAGACCCTGCTTCTAAATAAAATACAAAATAGGGCTGGGGATGTGGCTCAGTGATGGAGTGCCCAAGTTCAATCCCTGGTACAAAAAAAATAATAAGTCAACAATTCTGCATCTGCCGTTTCAGCCACATGTCCAAAACACAGACATGTGGCTATTAGGGTTAACAATGTAGAAAAAGGCCACTGTCACTCTTGCATTAACAGAAAGTTCTAGAGGACAGCACAGAACAGGAAGGGATGGGGGTGGGTGGTGTGAAAACCAAGACAGGCAGAAGGCCTAGTGAGGAGGTCTGGAAGTGCCACAGGGAGGGTGCTGCAAAAGCAAGCCTCAGTCCCAACCACAGGCCTGGGAGAGGGGCTGGGTCCCACTGTAGGAGGGCCAGAATCTTGGCCTGTGGAGGCAGGATCACCCTATGACATGCTAAGTGTCCCTCCCCTCAGAGTCCCAGCTGAGGGGAGGAATGGGAGGGGCTGAGGCAGGGAGAAGGAGGGGCTTTGGCTGGCCACATCCTCCCTGGGCTGAGGTCAGTCTGCAGCGCCCACCCAAGGTATCACCTGACCCCCCCCTGACTCCCATCTGGCTGGCCACCTCTGATCTCGGGTGAGCGGATAGCCTCCAGGATGGGGGGCGAAGGGGCGTCCTTGGAGTCGGAGGACTGGTCACTGCTGGCCCCGTTGATGAGAATGATGGAGTCCTCCCTCCCGCTGGCGCCCTCCTCTTCACTGAGGTGTCTGGTATCCCCCTTCATCGTTTCCTGTGGGAGAAGGCCAGAATGGGTAGTGGAAGGGAGGCAGGGGCATGGATTAGCACAGCCCCCATCTTCCTGACAGCGGCTTGATGTCCTCAGGGCAAGGGAGGACCTATGACCCAATCTGAGGATGACATCCTACCCCAGGACCCCACCCAGACGGCCCCCCATAGTCTGCCCCCTCACCAAACTCGGAGGCTCAGGACTTGGTTCCATGTGGCCAGGCGGCCCCGAAGGCTCAGATGCCAGCACCCCGGACAGAGGAGTGGACTGGGGCTGGGGTTTGAGGCTCAGGCTGCTCTGTGCAAATAGCTGGCCCCTTCAGACAATGCCATTTAGGACCTAGCTGGCCAGGCCTGCCTGCCGCCAGCCTCAGGTCCCTCTGCCCCTGGCCCCTTCTCCCTGCCCAGCCTCTGCAGGGCCTCAGGAAGCCAGAGCATTATTTTCCCTCCTGACCCCTTTGTTTGCTCTCTCCCTTCCCCTCAATCTCCAGGTCCTCTTCCCACCGCCCCCTCCTCCCCCACAGAACCGCTTCTCTCCTCTCCATGGCAGCACAAGCCCCGCCTAACCCCATCCTCAGGGGCCCATTGGTCTGCTGGACTGTCACTCACTCCCCTCCTCCCTCACCAGCTGGGGCTTGGAGTCCCAAGTTCCCAAGAAGAGAAGGATGGAGGAGGCTCAGGAGCAGAGCCTGGGCTGTTACAGGAGAGGAATGCCCCACACCCCCACCCAGGCTTGGCCTCCCCATGCTGTCCCTTCTGTCACCGCAGTATCACCAGGTCAATCAGCTAAGACACCACTCATGGAATGTGGAAGCTGAAGTGTGGCCCATTCCACAGAGCCAGCACTAATTAGACATTTGTTGGACACAAGAGTCTGCACCTTTCTCCCAGGGAGACTGTGGGCTCATTTTATGCAAAAAGAAAACTGGTAAATGAAGTTCATCTCCAGAGTCAAAATTCACATCCAAGCATCAATGGTAGATCGCACCCCGCTCAGTGGTGAAGCACTCTTGCCTAGCATGCATGAGGCCCTGCATTTGATCCCCAACAACACAAAAAAAAATTTTATCCAAGGACTAGAAATGTGCCTCAGTAGTAGAGCAGTTGCCTAGCATGTGGGAGTCCCTGGGTTCAATAAATAAACAAATAAGAGGGATGGGAGGGGGGTGCCTGGAGTTGTGGCTCAGTGTTAAAGCCTAGCATGCATGAGGCACTGGGGTCAATCTCCAGTACTACATAAAAAAAAGGGGGGCCACTATTGGGTACAGACCATATTTAAAGTCTCAGGGCATGGCGCCTAAATCATTAATTTCCAGGTGGGCACAGTAGCACATGCTTATAAATCCCCAGATTAATTGGAGAGATTGAGGCAGGAGGATCACAAGTTAGAGACTAGTCTCAGCAACTTAGCTAGAACCTCAACATTTTAGTAAGAAAAAATAAAAAGGGCTGGGTGAGGCTCAGTGGTAAAGTGTCCCTGGGTTTAAACACTAATACCAAAAAAAATTAATTAATAATTAATTAATTTCAAAAAGTCACTGGAGGCCCTGGGGCTGTAGCTCAGTGGCAGAGTGCTTGCCTAGCCAAGTGTGAGGCACTGGGTTTGATCCTTAGCACTGCATAAAAATAAAATATAGGCATGTGGACCAACTACAAGAATAAAAAAAATTTTAAAAACCCACTGGAGCTGGGTGCAGTGACAAACGCCTATAATCCCAGAGGCTTGGGAGGCTGAGGCAGGAGGATCACGAGTCCAAACCCCAGCCTCAGCACTTTGGCTACCCTGAGCAACTCAGCAAGACCCTGTCTCCAAAAAAAAAATACAAAAAAAAAAAAAAAAAAAAAAAAGCCGGGGAGCTTGGGGTGTACTCAGTGGTTAGTTGTCTTTGGGTAAAATCCCCAATGCCCAAACTCACTGGCTTTTGTTCTTTTTCATCCACCTTCAGTTTGCAAAAATAGAGCCTAGGAGCCGGGTCTAGGCACTGGGCAAATGGCGCATGCCTGTAATCCCCGATTCAGGAGCCTGTCGCAGGAGAATCTCAAGTTTGAGGCCAATCTGGTAAGATTCTGTCTCAAAATAAAATATAAAATGGCTGGAGATATATCTCAGTGGTAGAGTGTCCCTGGGTTCAATTCCCAATACTACAAAAATAAATTAATAAATAATGTTAAAAATTAATGCCTCGGTACAGAGCAAGGCTCTGACTCCCCGATTCCCATCAACAGCTCTAGAGGCTGTTTGAGCCATACAGCTCCTTCCCTAGAGGCCTGTCTTGGAGAAGCATCCAGATAAGGTCTCACCTGGCCCTACCTGATAACCCAAGCAAGCTCCCCGCCCAGAGTACCTTCTAGAAATAACACCTGGGGCAGCCTGGCTGCGGGCTGTATTGACCCCACTTCCACCAGGGGGCGCTATGAAAGTCAGTAAGAAGAGGTCCGTGGCGTCCCCAGGTGGATTTGCATAAATTCCATTCTTTAGACCTGCCCACTCCCCAAGCTTGGGCTCTGGGCAACTGGACCTCTGGGATTCCCCAGGTGCCCCCAGGAACCACGCCCTTGAAACAGCTGCACTGGCATTACCTGGTTACTGTTTACAACCAAGGAATTTTAAGACAGAGTCCTACACCTGCTGATCAGGATTTTAAGTAGACTTTACCAAGGTCCCTGGGTAATAAGTACATTAGACAAGCATAGTTCTGATTAGAGATACTGATACACAGCACTTGGGCTCACTCTGCCCTGTGTGGCCCATGAGTCTATATATATAGGTCAGTTTCTGGGCTCTGGCTTTCCCCCACACAGGTAACCTCCTCCCCTACCCACCCCAAAACAGGCCTGACCCAGACCCACCAGCTGCTACTCAGCCCTTCTCCCCCACCCTGACCTGAAAGAGAACAGGCTGGCTGACCTATGGCCAGGTCTAGGGAGACCAATTAACCAGAATCTCAGAAAAGCTGCTGGAATGTAATTAGGAATTGTAATTAATTTTAAGCATTTCACCTCAGGCCAAATCAGTGAACTAAGTAAGTAAACTTGAGTGGTCTGGCATGGCTGGTGGGTGGACCCATCTACCACTTCAAGGAGCTCTCTGGGGAGGAGAGCACACAGGTTGCCTTCAGGAGCTGGAGGGTGACAGAGGATTCAACCGAACGACATGACTTGTGGTTCCAGGGTCCAGGGTCAGGATGGGTTTCTCAGGCAGTCCCAGCCCCTAACTGACTCTACAAGAAGTCTTCTTAGGCCTAGGTGGACTAGGCCTAGGAGAGTTCCTCTCCCCCATTTGCATTCTCCAGGTATATTGCTGCTGTCCCTGTCCCTGCAGCCTGGAAGCAGGGTTCTCCAGTCTCCTCATTTCTCAGACTTTAAAACCAAAAATGTTGCCCAGGGTCTCTCCTCCAAAAGTCACCTGCTCCTCCCTTAGAGACAGAGACATACCAACCTGCTCATCTGGTGTTTTTCAGCACTATGTGTTGGACTATCCTGTGCTTTACTAACTTTATCCTATTTGGCATGGGGAAACTGAGGCACACAACATGGCTGGGGTGTAGCTCAGTAGCAGGTTAACCTTAACAAACATGGAGTTCTAGGTTAACCTCTAACCCCCAAGAGAGAAATCAGACATAATCAATGTCCAGGGATGTTAAATAAGAACATACAAATTTGATCAAATGCTCTTAGAAACAGGGACACAAGAAATGAGCAGCAGAAATAGCATTTGTGAGCTGGGCACCATGGCGCCCGCCTGTGATCTCAGCAACTTGGGAGGCTGCGCATCATATGGTCAAGACCAGCCTCAGCAATTTAGAGAGACTCAGCAACTTAGTGAGATCTTGTCTCAAAATAAGTAACAAAAAGGGCTGGGGATGCGGCACCACTGAGTTCAATCCCCAGTTACCCACCCCCCCCCCCAAAAAAAAAAATAGCATTTGTGCCAGGTGTGGAGGTGCATCCCTACAATCACAGATTTGGGAGGCTGAAGCAAGAGGATTACAGATTTGAGGCCAGCCTTAGCAACATAGAGAGGCCTTAAGCAACTTAGTGAGACCCTGTCTCAAAAAGGGGGGGGGAAAATAGCTGGGAGTGGCTCAGTGGTTTTTATGTGCTCCTGGTTTAATCCCAGAAAAGAAATAACATTTTATCTAATGCTAGATATAAATCTCTCCCTCTCTTCCCTTGTTCCTCACCTTGGCCTCCAACAACTCAAGGTTGGCATTTCCCAGATAATGTGACCAGCCAGCATCACAAGCCACCAGCTTTATCTGATATGAACATCCTGGAGGATAAGCTGAGGATTATACTTTCTGGAAGGAGGTGGTATCTCCCTAAGGGATTTTTCCAGAGTGGTAGACTTGCTGGCTTTAGGACATTGCTGTGCCCTTCAGCCATTATTCACATGAATAATGATTAAGAGATCCCAAAAGGTCCCTGTAGGCAGAAAATCATGCTACAAACATCTTTTTACCCCCACCTCCTCCCCCAAGGCAGGTTCCATTGTCAAACTGCTTTCAACAGGCTGAGGAGTTAAGTCACCCAGCAAAGTGGCAGTGCCAAGTCTCATGCCCAGGCAGCCCAGGGCACTTGCCTAACTGCACCCTGACACAAAGCAGACAGGAATTATGAAAGTGATGAGCGCCAGAGGCGGGGTCCACCAGCTGAGTGTTTACTTTCACAGGAGGGGGCTGCCTGACCTAGAGAGGAAATGTGAACTTTGACCCTTTCCCAGAGGCTGGGGTCCAGCATGTGATTCAGTGGTGGGCAGTGGCATTGGACCAGGTCAGACATGCTCAAATGCAATGTGGCAGACAGGGGGAGTAAGTGGCTCCCAATTAGGTTCAACAGGGGAGACCCAGGGACGCCCCCTCCAACCCTGCAATAAAGCTGATGTCATTCATTTCCCATGGGCTGGCAGCACAGCAGAGCTAGCTCAGAGCACCTTGTAAATGTTAATTGAATTAAGCCTCACAATGCAGGATGGAGGGTGTCCTTGGGCCTGAAGGGGAAAGT